AGCCTGCCTCGGCCGAGCGGAGGTCGCGGGAGGGCGGCAAGGGGCAGCTTGGAGCCCTGGCACCCAGCCGCACGTTGCCTCAGTTATTCCTCTTGCCAGCCCCCTGAGCTAACAGCTGGCCGTGTCACCCTTGCAAGGCAACTCTTTAGACCTCCTTTATCGCCTTTCAAGCAGGATCAAGTCAGGTGTGACATAGAGCAATGCCCTTGGCTGTAAATACCCCCGGAGGACAGTAGTTTGGGCTGTAAATACCCCCAGAGGAGAGTGGCCCTCAGAGTGGCAGATGTCATTTTCCAGGTATCCACTCTCAGCTGTGCTTTCTTTCAGAAAATCACTACCAAGAATGCATTTGGCTTACACCTGATAGACTACATGACAGAGATACTGAAACAGAAGGATTCTGAACTGACCAACTTCAAGGTGAGAGAAGTTGCTGCCAGGTTGCTGCAGTGTTTTGACTCTGACTTGCACTTAACAAAAGGTTTCATAAATGCCAAGCCTCAAATAAGCCTGCAGCAGACTGAAGGTACCTTTACTTTTAGTAAAAACATCTGGTAGAGGCAGCACAGTAACTTTTAGTATAAATTTATAGTGTTGAATTCCTTTGTACTACAGAAATTAAAAGCTAAATTCTCCTCTCTGTTACATTCCTTCAAAACAAGGGCTTCTTTAAAAATAAGACTTGTGAGACTTCTGAAGTAAATATTGCATGTGATAGCCAGTAACAGAACAAGGCTATAAAAAGAAAGTAAGTTTGTGTGACTAAGTCTAGCAGATATCAGGGACGGATCAAAATAAGAACTTGTCAGGGCAAAGACCTACTAGCTATAATAGTTTGTTGATGTTAGGAGGGAGAGGTGAATTCCTGGATGAACAAACAGCAGGGCTTTCAAGCGTGGCCTCTAGGAATCTGAGCTAGTGGTCTTAAAGGTGAGGAAACTAGGTCAGGGACAGGAAAAGGTGTGTGGGTTTTGAGTAGGCTGCCCTTCACCTTCCTGGGTGGGTCTGTGATCTGAAAAGGACACTCAGCGTTTCCTGTGCCTTCCTCCTTTTGATTTTGTTACGTGGGTAAAATAGAATGACACAAGAGGGTGTCTCAAAAGAAGGCACAAGAGCTGGAGGAGAGCAGTCTCTCTGCAGATGCAAATGCAGATGCAAATCTTCACCCACTGTTGCTTAATCTTGGCAGGTATTCTTCTGTGTGATCCCTTCCAAGAGCCTTGATAAAACAAACTGTAGGCTCTGCCTGGGAAGACATATCTTGACTCCTGCTGTGCCAGTAGGTCTCTGATAGGTTTCAGGATAATTCCTTTTCCAGTTGTTCAGTTTTGCTGGTAAAACACTGTGAGCATCCCTGAGAAATTCAGGTCCAGGTCCGCAGCTCGTCTTCTGTGTTTGCATCTTCTGAATGTGACTTGTTCCTTTCTAACTCTTAAAAATTGCATGCTATGTTCCTTCTGTCACCAGATAGCAGCTGGCACCCTCGATGCCAGTGCGAAGATTTATGCAGTGCGAGTGGATGCAGTCCATGCAGATGCATACAAAGTTCTTGGAGGCTTGGGCAAGGACTCGGCACCTACAAAGGATGCAGACAGCCAAGAAGGAGGTGTGCCATTGGCTCGATTTCTGTTAAGGTGTTCCTGGTTCCACCTACAAGCAGAACAATGTCAATGTACTTACGTAGCACCTATGCATTTCAAAGCATCTCGTCCATCTGGGAGAGTCCTGCTAGCTTCATTTTTTTCAAGGGCTGGGAAATACCAAATTAGTTTGCATGGGTGCTCAAGCAGACAGAGCTGAGATGAGACCCTGAATCTGATGTTCAGTCCTGTATTCAACAATTAGTCCGGTTAGATTTGAATGCAAACCAAAGGTGGCCTAATTTGAGGCATTAAGAATGAAGTGCCCCACTCCCTGCTGTCTTTTGCTTCAAAATGAAAATGCACTCCTACAAAAAAATAGAGAAGATGAAAGGAAGTGCTGCATCCAGCCGATGAAAAATTGGTGGTTCATGCTAACAGATACCCAGTTGGGTAATTTCATGCCTACTGTTTTTTTGTGCATGTGTTTGGCTGTACAAACTGAAGTAAAAGTTTTAAGTTGTGGCATCTCTCAGCTCTAGGGTATTTTAGCAACTTTTCTAAATGAAACTTCTTCTAATTTTCCTTTTAGGAGAAAGCACTGCATCTCCTGAGACTGGCAAGAGAGTTCAGACAAAGAAAAAGCATACGTTCAAAACCATTGAACAGAACTTGAATAACATCAACATGTCAGAGGCTCATCGCAGATCTGAGGTGGGTGAAGGGGCTGATGTAGCAGCTGCATTCTTGTGAAAGAAAGGAGACACTCCTCATCTCTTTTTTTTCCCCTTCATCATGGCAGCCTCTTTTGGGCTCTAGCATTCACACCTATGTCTGTGAATTGGGCTGTTAGAGCAAGGTTGTTCCTGGTTGCGTATATCCCTCCTGCGTGAGGCAGCTGTGAGAGCTCTCTGCTAGCTGAAAAAGATGCATGGGTGTTGCTCCCTTCAAGGCTATGCTTAAAGTCTCCTGCAGAGACCAGCGCACCCCATCCGTCTGCTTGATTCTGTGCTTGATTCCATGCCTGTAGGTTGATCCCATGTTCCAGAAAACGGCAGCATCTTTTGATGAATGCAGCACAGCTGGCATTTTCCTCACTGGTCTGCGTACCCACGGCTGCCATAGTGAGCTCCTCTTTGATTCGAAAATTGTGCCTCTCCCGTCTTCTGAGACACTTGCACTGCCAAACTCTGCTCCTGTGAAAGTGACGGATTTAAAGCGTGAGTGCCAGTAACCACTAAACGATAGGCCTATCCAGACCTTTCTATCCTTTTTAACCTCCCAGGTGTGCTCCATTTAGTCTTCAGCCAGCTTGAGTTATGCTTTTATTCACTGCTTGGTTTTTCTTTCTCAGCTACCCTTTGTCACTGTTGCTCTGATCCTGCTCAAATTGAGACTTGCTGTTGAGAAAGCAGGAACCTCTTTCCTGCTTTCTCGTAGGTTTTAGATCATTCCATGTAGCTTAAACTCTGGCAGGTCTGTCATGTAGCATGTATACGTGGTCTGAGCCGCGCAGCAGTTGAGTTTGCTCCGTACTGAGGGCTGACCTTTTTAAAGCGCTTTAAGCCTGTCCACGCTACCAAACCCTACTGCTGTGACAAGATTCCCAGTGCTATGCCCACCCTTGAGTTAGAGTAGCAATTGAACTCTCCCCTTCTGCTAAGAGATGAGACCAAGTGCTTTCGCAGTGAGGCCTCTACTGTACCTTCAAGAAGAGCTGCCTGCATGTGAGGCTTTAAGAATGTTTTAAGAATGTTTTAACATCTGGAACTTGTTTTAGCTGCCAGTTGCTTTATTCTATTTCTAATTTCTCCTTTTTGCTCTCCTTGTGTCTAGCCCTGCTAGCGCAGTGTGTTGAAAAACGCCCCATCTGCTCTTCCTTGGCTGGTTTCCAGTTTACGCAGTGGGATGCTGAATCCCATGATGAGGTATGTTTGTTGGCTCTGGTTAGGGTGGGATACTTGAGCTGTATTCTCCCTGCTGCATCTCCCCCAAAGAGATGCCCAAGATAGAGAGGGCAGTGGGATGTTACTCTGTACAGCCACTGATGTCCTGTGAGTTTTCCACTGGGCACCCTCTTGTTCCACAGTCAGTGTCAGCCCTGTTGGATAAATTTAAGAAGAGCGACCAAGTGTTTGATATCCATGCTGAGATGGCCAGCGATGATGTGGAGGACGATATTCCCACCCTGCCAAATGACGACTTCCATGCTGACTCCCCCAACTGTACGCTAGCAGACAAAATTGGGGAATTCACAGGAAGCCTCAAGGCCTTCGGGACAAACTGTGAGAGGAAAAGGTGAGTAGTCAGTGAAAATCCATTGCAACTGGAGAGCTGTGCTGAGAGAACCTGACTGTAGCTGAAGGAATGGGACAGTCCATGCAAGGAGTCTGTGTTTTTCTGATTCCTCTTGGATGGAGAAGAAGAATCCCAGAAACCAGGCCTGGAGCAAAGCTTCCCTTTCTCTGCCGAGTTCCTCACAGGGGGATTACAGATACTCTTAGGTGACGTAAAGAAGCCAGCTGTGCTAGTGGCTGCTGCACAAGGGTTTCTGGGTGAAGTTTTAGACTTTGGCATGAGAGACATTTTGAGAGGTTGAGGCTGATATGACGTGCCAAAAGGAGGCAAGTCAGCTTCCCTTTTAAAGGCACTTTCTGGGTTGCTGATGCCTAACTCCCACAGCATGTTGGGCTGCATGGTTTCTTCCAGTGGCAGAAGGCTGTGTGCTGAGGTCCCACTCCTGTTGTTCGGGTCTGGCTTTCCAGGATCTTTAACTTACTGTGCAAACAGTAAGTTTTCCATCTGGATATAAAGCTTCCTTTCTGCTTGAGTTCAGATATGTCCAGGAATGTATTACAGGAACATCTCTGCCCTTTTCATATGGTTTGTGCTTCCCTGGAGTGATTGCTTGCTTGCACACTCTGCTGCTCCCCAGTTTTCCGCCTGCCCTGTGGCAAATCAACCTCTGTTGTTGCAGCGGCCTCACGGACTCAGACTGTGCAACAGCCACAGGATTAAAGAGCAGGAGTTTTGCACACATGCCAGCAGAGAGAGCAGGAAGCATCTGTACAGAGCTGGTCCTGGTATTAAATGCTCGCTCTGGTCCTTGTTCAGTGGCAGCAGTGCGTCAAAGGAATGGTTTCACTCAGTGTTGTGTATGCCCTTTCCAGAACTGATGCGGCTCCTCTGGGAGAGGGCGACATCGGTACCTTGTGCCTCCACCTCTCCATGCAACCAGGAGAATACTCCTACTTCAGCCCCCGAACTCTGTCAATGTGGGCTGGCCCAGAGCACTGGCGTTTCAAACCTCGCCACAAATGTACGTATTTACAGACAGCACTTATGTTAACAATCCAGCTACTGTCCAATCATCCTCATGTTTAGAGATAGATGGCTTCCGAGTCATAAAGCAGGGACAGTCAAGATGGGGACCAGCCTGCGTGGCTCTTTTGTAGCCAGGATGGAAGCTATACTGAGTTCAGGCACCAGGAAGGCAAGCATGCTCCAAGTCTCAGGAGGGTCCTTTGGCAGCTAATGTATTCTCTATTATTTGGGTTTGTTAACGATGCTCAGAGTTGAAGGGGAGTCTCACTGCAGCAATAGACTCAATTAGCAAGAGTACTAATACAGATCCTCCTGTTGTTTCCCAGCTTCTGCATAAAAAGTAAAGATTAAAATAAACTTTCTGCTTCTATAGAAAGATAGTGTTTCCTTTAAAATGCAGAGCCAAGGACAGCAGCTCTTGCTTTTCACTAGCAAAGAGAAAAGGCCTGGTTTTTAGAAGATATGGGTGACCTTTCTGTGTGGAGTAGACCCCCAAGTAAGCATGTAGTCTTTACTCTGTCAAAGTCACATTGACTGTCTCTTTCTGCAGCAGATGCTGTCTCTGAAAAAGAGACCAAGAAGAATGCAAAGAAAGCGTTTGAAATAAACTTTGATGAGGATATTGACTTTGAGGTGTATTTCCGTAAGACTAAGGTAAGCGCTGAGTTTCTGCCTCTGTCTTTTTTCTCTCACTTCTGCCATATCAGTGTGTCTTAGAATTGTTGCCTGCAAACGGCTCACCTGGTTCTCTTGTGAAACTGGCTCCGTGCTACGCACGTTCGTTTGTGCAGGTTCTTCCGACTCCAGGTCCTGTTACAAATAGAGAGTTTTATCAACCATGGGGTAAAGAAGAGGGCAGGATTCTTCCTGGCTAATACTCTGCCAGTAAGAGACACCCTGCAGGCCCAGTTGTGTGTCCCAGGATGCTGTGCATATGACATCAAGTGCACGGACTGGACCAGTGCTGAATTCCTCTTTGGAGGCATCTTGGACCTTCCTTCTTTCAAACAAAGACTTGTGTTCAAAGCACTTAGTTGCGCATTCATCTTGTGAGTAATGGATGTCACATGGATAACAATAATACCTTCCACAGGCAGCTGTAACTCTAGCCAAATCCATTCTGGAAAGGAATGTGAGGAGCACCACGCTTCCGACAGACTTCAACTATGACCCTAACAACATTGTCCAGCTGTTCCTCAAACCAGCTGTCAAGGTAAGAGTCTTCTCCAAAAGCCTGTTGGCAATGGCTCCATGCACACAACCACCCTCACCATCAACTTGAAGTACTCCAGGATGCTCCTTGGGGCAAGAGACTGGCCAGCACAATCGTGAACTTGACCCTCTTGCAGATGACAAATGGGTTGAGCTTGGCTGTTGTGCTTTACGAGGGGAAAAAGGGGTTAGTGGTGAGCTGGTACCTGAGGAGGAGAAGGAGCCAGCAGGCTGGGATGGGGGAGGTGATTAATTAATTAACAAGGTACAGGCATTGTTTGGGGAAACATTTAGAGTTTTTCTATTCTCTTCCCCTGGTCCCGTCTCTGCAGCTCTGCAGGATGGCTGTGCCAGGCAGCTCAATGGATCACGAAGATGAGATCGGCGAGTATGATTACAACAACCCCAACGACACCTCCAACTTCTGCCCTGCATTGCAGGTAAATGGTGGCAAGAAGATTTCTCTGTTGCGTGTACTTGATGTGTAGCCGGAATAACTTAGGGAGAATCTGTGGCCAGGATTCATCGCTAGAGGAAAAGAATTGGCCTTGCAGATTGCGACAAAGCTGTAGGAGTCTCTGCACACACCTTTGTCCCTTCACTCTCTGTGGTACTGTGATAGCATCAACTAAACTCTCTAGCTTTGGTGTTTGCCAGTCAATTTGCTGCAGAAACTCCATTCCAGCCCTTCTGTGCATCTGTACTATAAAGTAGGAGTAAGTGCCACTGCCCATCGCTGCAGTCACCTCTACGCAGCGACATTTGCTTCTAGCAATACTTGCTCTCAGCTCTTTTGAGCTCCTGCTGGAGTAGATTTCTTCAGAAGCTTCAGCTTTCTGCAAAGCCGATGCAGCCTTGTGAGTGTTTGTGACAAGTCTCAGCTAATCCCGCACCGCCAGAAGAGCCCTCATCTCTCATCTCTCCATGTAAAACAGTCTTCTGATATTCTAGATCTCTCTCTTTAGGTCTAGATCTCTCTCTAGGTCTCTTTTGGTCTTAGCCTTAGCCCAGGCTAAGCACTTGGGGGAGGCTGAATAAGAAAATTCTCCCATGGGGAAGGTAGACAGGTATCCAGCTACTCTGCTGAGGGGTGGGTGCTTCTGTTAGCTGAATGGAGGACAATTCTGGCTCCTCAAAGATGCCTGTGCGGTGATCTCACTGGTACATCTGTTCTTGATCAGGCTGCAGACAGCGATGACGACAATGACCCCGCTGAATTCATGGGCCAGACTGGGGAGTTTAACCTTACTACCCACCCTGCGAGTCAAGAGGCTGAGCTCAACGAGGATGTTGGTGGTGTTGATATCACAACATACGGAGAGTTGAACCTTATTGCTGAGCCCCAGAAGGTAAGGATTCACATGTTATCCCCATGCTGTGAACTGCTCACTAAGCAGGTCTGGAGCAAAGCCTCTCAACACCCGAGACGATAATTTCGCTGGAACAGGATCTCCTGGGCTTGCTACTGGCCTCTTTATTCCCAGGTGGCCCTTTTGCGTAAGGGAAGACAATTAACAATCAGGTGTTTAATAGCAGGACAGCACTCTCTGTTGTTCCCAAGGGAGAACCATGTTTTGGTTGTTCTTGTGGTCCTGACCGCGGATACGGCTGCTCCTGCTCAGTTGCTCTCAGCTAACTGCGAATGTCTGTCCTCAGGTCAATAAGATAGCAATTCAGTATGCAAAGACAGCCAAGAAAATGGACATGAAGAGGCTGAAGCAAAACATGTGGGACCTCTTGATCGATGGACAGAAGAAACAAACAGTGGCAGAGGTGAGTGTGGGGGAGGACCCCAGATGAAAATGTCTTGCCAGATACCTCAAGAGGCCTGAGGATACAGGAATGTCCTGCAGGTAACTATGCTTAGCTCCTGTGGAGACAGGCTTGGGTAAGGAGAGGAGCAATTCCTTTCCAGTAGTCTTGCTCTCGTGGAGTGGCTGGTAAGGATGGACTTTGAGCAGTGACTATACCTGCAGTACAGGAAGGTGGCACTCCTGCAGTGGTTGTTCTCTGTTCACGAGGCTGTGCTGAGTCTTTCGGAAGAAAATCTCAGCGGTGGATGTCTGTCTTTCTGCTAAACAGATCGAAAATGTGGAGAAAGAGACAGACAAATCAGCGGTAGCGGGCGAGAAGGTCTTCAGCGGCATCACAAAGGAACTGCTCCACAGGTAGAGAGGCCCTAAATTGGGTCAGAATGAAGCTGGAGCAGACTTCAGCTGATCTTGGGCACTGACCCACCTGGGTCAGTTATGACCTGCTAACTGAACCCTGATGCTGTTTTGATCACAGATATCCTTAGTCCATGCCTTTACATCATTCTAGATGGTAGCCTTGGATCTGTCAATACAGGCAGCAATCTGAAGATGACTCGCTGAGACGAGTCACTCCCCCATGATGTCTGTGATTGATTTTCCATGCTAGTGTCTGAAATTTTAATCAGAAAATCTGTTCCCCTCACTCTCAGGGTTTGCAAGGGGGAAGCTACAGGCTTGGCGAATACCTTGCTAGCGAGAGGGGAGAAGCAGAGAAAACCAGGGACTTGGGGAGGACCTGCCACACATGCTCCATCAATAGGGTTTAAGTGCCTGGTTCCTGGCCAGTCTAACCTCTTCCCTTCTCTTGCTCTGTTTCATAGACTGCCTTCTGTGATGGCTAAGAATCTGTCTGTCCCGCTAGCGTTCGCCTGCCTCTTGCATTTGGCAAATGAGAAGGTAAGCACACTGCAATGCAAGATGTGAGCAGTGCCTGTAAAAAGCATTGCTCTTGGTAGGAGCAGTGGGTGAAATCTCAGTGAAAAATCTCCAGGAACAAGAAAATGGGGCAGAGGTCCTGCTACGTCAGGACTTCACAACCTAAGTTTCATGCTTACCCTAAACAGGAACTGGACTCTGCTGAATGTTTTTCTTCTCCTTTTTCCCAGAATCTGAAGCTGGAGGGCACAGAAGACCTGTCTGATGTCCTAGTGAAACAAGGAGACTGAGCCCTGGGCAAAGCAGCTCACTGAGGCCGGCCCTACAGGACAGAGCTCGGCTCTCCCAGCTGACCGGTGCTCGCTCTGGACTTTCTCATCAGTGGGAGATTTTTCCCTCGTCCCAGCAGCAGCATTGCTGAGAAATCCCACTGGTGTCTGCACCTCAGGAAGACTTTTAAATCATGGATGCCCAATCTAAACATAACGCCCTCATAGGGATGGACAGTTGCAGCTCAGCCGGCCTGGCTCTTGTCACCTTGGATCCATCACCTCTTTCCTTGGGCCTTGGTAGCAAAGTTCCTCAATCTCACTGTGAACTGCCAGTGCCTGCTAGCAAAGGGCCCCTGTGTGTGTTGCTGTCTGCCTGTCTAATTTCCAGTACATGGACTGACTGTTATTCATGTCTCCAGGTCCTCCTGTAGTCTTATTCCTTTGCCTGTTCATCGCCTGAAATGATTTACCTTTTGTACTGAGCTTAATAAATTGCTACAGACTTTTTAGATGGGCCTTTGAGATGGGGAAAGAGGAATCTCAGACGGAAAAGAGGTAAAACAGACAAGGTGGGTGGAGAGCAGCTCTGACTTACATGCACAGTCCATGCATGTAACTGCACCTCCTCATGCACTTGAGGAGGTGCAGAGGGGTGCGACTGCCATAGAACCCTTCCTTCTACCGCAGGCAGCTCACAGCATGGATGAGAGGGGATTTTTTTTCAGTAAAATAGTGACAAATAGTCTTTTCTTAACAAATAAAAGATGTATTTCCTTGAGTTGCAACTCAGCTGAAGGGTGATCCAGCAGGACAGGCGCATACTGGAGGCACCAGCAATACCTGCGTATCCATGGCTTCAAGATCTGCCCGGTGACTTCCACTGAGGGGCTTCCAGGGCCATTCCAGGTGGTAGCAGCTGTTTCGTCCTGGCTCTTCCAGCACAGGGAGACCAGGCTGCACAGGAGGAACCGAGGAGGGCTCGAACACACACCCCTTTTGTCTCTGCCATCCCCGCGATCCACGCTGCGTCCTGGCCTGGTTGCCCCATGTAGGCTGGCCATAGCTCAGTGTCCTGGGGCTGCCCCACCTCGCATTTTCTACAGCTACTTTCGGCTCCAGTCCCTGGGAGGCTGCCAGCGGCCACCGCTCTCGCTCTTCCCCAGAAGCCACAGTGTAGGATTAGGAGAGGAGGTGGAGGAAGCGGGAGATTCTGCTGCTGTGGATGCGGTGTGACCCGCCTTGCTGCTGCACAGGCAGGGAGTTCGTCAGCTCCTCCTCGAGCATCTGGAGGAGAGAAAGATAAGCCGTGTCCCTCCCAGCCAGGACTCAAGAGGAGAAATGGCCTGGGGTGCACAGGGTGGGTTGGGCTGTGGCATGTCAACAAACCCGAAGAGCCGTCGCAGGGCAACTCACCTCCTTGCGGACAGCCAGCCGCTGCTTCCACTCACTGAGCTCCATGGCGTGTTCACCGTCCAGCCGCGCCAGCTGTCTCCTCTCCTGCTCAGCCAAGAGGCGCATCTTCTCACTCTGGGAGAAGGCAAAGGGCGGGTGAGAAGAGAGATGCTCGAGGAGAGCTAGAAGGGGTGTGGGAAATGGCCCTCTGGCCCCAGTACCTGCATCTGCTCCAGTTCCCCCAGGCTCTCAGCCTGCTGCTGCTGCAACTGCTGCAGCTGCTGCATGTGCTGCTCCTGCTGCTGCTGCACCTCCACTCTCTGCCGCTTGTCTTCCTGCTGCAGGAACTGTGGTGAGGACAACCTGTGTTACATTCCCCTTCCCAGGCAGGAGAGGCAGCCCCTAACCCCATCCTTGACCACCCTTCGCATGAGTTTTCACTGTCTGTCACTGCAAGCTGTTGCTCACAGCTTTTGGGGGTGAGGGGGCTGCAGACAATTCAACCCTCCTGCCAAAGTGTTCGGTACTTTGCTGGCAGCCCGGTTTCCACCAGCCCTGCCTGAGGCAGCCATGAGCCTGGCCAAACTGGTATTTCATGCTGGGCAACCTTGAGGGTCCTGGAGAACCAGTGGCCGGTACCTGCTTGGCTCTCTCTCTGTGCTTGGCCCCATTAACCTCCTGGATCTTCAGGTTGCCTTTGAAGAGGGCCAGGCGGGCCTTGGCGTCGCAGCGCTGGCTTTTCAGCAGCTGAGCCCGTTCTTGGGCCTGCTGGTTCCTGAGCTCCTCCAGCAAAAGGTGGTGGAAACGGTTCATCCGCTCTGTCTCCTGCAAAAGGGGCTGGAGGGTGAGCTAGGACCAGGATGAGGAGCAGGGCTGGAACGCCGGCAGCTCCCACCTCACCTTCTCGTGGCGCTTGTGGAGCTGCTGCCGCTGCAGCACGTGCTGCTCCTTCACCTGCCGCCTGAAGAGCTGGTACTTCTCCTGCAGGTGCCCTTGCTCCATGCTCCACACTCTGGACTCACGGGCTGCCGGGCAGGACCACAGCACCGAGTGGATCAGTAGCTTCATGCCATGGCCTGCCCCAGCCTCTAAACCCACCTCTTGCTCCCTTCTTCTGGCTACTTCCCACCAGCCAGAACCCCACTGCTCTTGCCCCAAGGTTCCTCCATCCTCTTCCTCCCAGCCCCAGAGCTCTTGTGGCCCAGTCCACCTCTGCGGAGGCTGTGGATCTTGCTGATGTACTCCCAGTTGATGGACATCATCTTCTTCTTATGTTCCTGGACAACTCTCTGCAAGGATGCGTTCAGCTCCTCCTGCTGTTGCTGCAGGAACCGCTGCTCCTGCGGTGGGAAATGTGGGGGCCCTTGTCCCAAATCTCGAGGGAGACTGGCCCCAGGTGCAGCTCATCAGCTCAGGGGAACCACAGCCCAAGTCCACCACCATGAGAGCCGCCACCATGCCCTCACCTCTCTCCTGTTGCCCTTCAGCTCTTGCATCCTCCTCTCGCCATTCTTCTCCTGGAGGGACTTCAGGCGCTTGGCTTCATCACGCAGCTTCACCGTGTACTCGCACTCCTGGCGCTCCTTCAGCTGCTGATAGTGACGCTCCAAGGTCTCCACCTCCCGATCATAATACTCCTTCTTGCTCTGCTATGCAGACACAGAGGGTCAGCACAGACCGAGGACGGCCCACAGGGAACTGTGACCCCTTACGCCAGCTCTGTGCAGACAATGCCAGCCCAGGGGACTCACACGTCCCTCCTACTGGATCGCACCAACAGATGTCCCCCCGTTACCGTCATCTCCTGCTCGATGTTCCGAAACATCTGCCCCCGCTGCTGGTGAAACTTCTGCTCCAGCTGGCTCTGCGCCCTCTGCTCCTCCTTCTGCAGCACCCGCAGCTCACGGAGCTCCTGGCGCCTAAAGGTTTGGGCAAGTCAAGGTGAGAAGTGGCCAAAAGTTGGCTTGATGGCACCTGCCTCTGCCAGGGCTTTAGGGGCAACCTGGTGAGGAGGCTGCACTGGATGGCTGCCTTGTAAGTGGCTAAAGGAAGGAGAAGGAGAAGCCCTAGTGCAGTGATGTGGAAGACACTTTCTCCAGTGAGCAGGATCACCAATGCCTCTTGGGTCCATCAGCTCTTAAATCAATTGTTGGCTCTGCCCCTCCATTTTCCCCATCCTCCCCCGGTCTCCTTGGGAGGGTCTTCCCAAGGAGAAGATATTGGAGAAGATCTTCCTCTCTCCTTTCCTTAAACAACCCCCAACTGCTGGCAAGAGCAGATATGGGGCTGGGCAATGTTTTGGCTCTTTCTGTGCCCCTACACCTCACCAGGGGATGGACATGGGATGCCTGCCACCCCTCTGCTACCACAGCCACTCACCGAGCAGAACGCATCTTCTCCTCCCTCGTCTCAGCCTTGCTGACAGCCTTGGCAGTCGTCACGCTCACTTCCTCCCCGTCCACAACGAATCTGCGGGTTTTCTTTACCGTCCTTCGGAGGGAGGGAGGTTCCTGCCACCAAGAGCAATGGTTTGAGCTCAGACAACCCAGACGACGTAAATTCCATGCTGGGCAACACAGCGCGAAGGTAGAGTTGTGGGTTTAACGCAGCGTGTTCGGTCCGTAACTGGAACATGCACCCTGTGGGCTTCTGGCTGCGTTCAAATGGGCTCTGGGAGCGATTTGAGCTACCCATTGACACAAGGCAACAAGGGCTGGCCCCGCACCCTGCTGCAAGCCAAGAAACGGGGATCCACAACCTCAGTATAGCACAGGAGGTTGTTCAGATGCCTTCACCCTGGAAGGGTGCACAGAGGAGCTTTAGGTCCCTGAGCTAGCTCTGGAAACAGCACGGCAACGTGCATGCAACAGCCTGGGGCAGGGTTTGCGGGTTCAGCTCTGCTGCTTTCGAGACCCCAAGGTCTCTGCAAGGCCATTTTACCTGCAAGCCCACAGTGAGCACTGGGTTCCCTGCGGCCTGGCCCAGGCAAGCTGTTGAAGCTGCAGCCCTGCGGGGCTCCTGTGCTTCCCTACCACGCTGCTTTGCACAAGGGCCATCTCCATCTGGAAGCGCTCCAAGCCCCATGGCAAGTGAGGCTTTGGCAAGTCCAGGCTGTGTTTTTGCTCAACCAAAAACTCATGGCCAACCAAGGGATCTCTGGTGGCCACCCCAGAAGTGCCATCTTCTCCTTTGCCCCTCACCTGCTGGGCTTCCTCTGCAGATGGCGATGGAGCTCGTGTGTCTGCAGGGTTTGCTGGAGGCAACAGCTCCTCCCCTTGCTCTGGTGCGGAACAGTTGCCCGAGCGTGGAACTGGGATGTCCTCCACTCTCCAGGCCACCCGGGAAGAAGTGCGACGCAAGACAGCAAAGCTCACAGTCTTTGTGGCCTGTGGGTGTCCACCACGAGGCTCCTGGGGCTCTGACACTGCTCTGTTGCCCAAGTCACCCATTTCTCCTCCGGATCCATCCCTCGACGGCCCTGTGGGAGCTGGAGCAACCTTCATCCCATGATCTCCAAGCAGATTCCTCTCTTCCTTCTCTTCCTCTCCATTTCCATCTTTTCCATCTTGCCTTTCACAGTCATTACTATAACCAGCCAAGAGCTGCTTTTCTGTGGAGCTGTTTTCCACTTTCTCCTCCGTTTCCTCTTTAACTGGCCCCGGGATGTCCTGGGAGGATGAGTCCTCTGTTGAATTTTGGGCTTCCTCACTCACCGGTGCCTCTTCTGCTTGCACTGCACAGTCTGCCTCTGGTCTCTCTCCTGCAGGCAGTTCCTCCCCGCTGACTGCATCTCCCATGGGATTATGGTCTCCAGTTAAACACTCCTTTACAATATCTTCCACGTTCACTTCTGCTAGCACCAGGGTTCCCTTGGGAGGTGTTTCCACTACCAAATACTGATCATCTTCCCTAAGGTGGCCAGTCACTGCGGTGTCTGTGGCTTCCGCCTTGCCATAATCCCCTATGTCCTGCTCAGCCAGCTCCAAGGGGTTAGCGGTAGACTCGTGTGCTGCCATGTTTTTCTCCCCATCATTTCCCCCTTCAGTCTCTTCCAGTCCATGTGGTGGCTCCTGCCACCCTTCAAGCCCTTCTGACCCCACTACCACCTCCTCCACTGCACTCTGCATGAGTGAGGTTTCTCCCAGTAGCACGGTCTCCTGCCCCAGGTTGGTCTTCCCATCACTCTCAGGTCCTTTGGGTACTCTCTTAGCTCCATGCCTGCCTTCTCCAGGGCTGTCTTTCCATTCTTCAGCTGCAATGGAGCCAACCTGAGCCTGCAGCTTAACGCTGGCACCTTTCAGCTCTAGCAATGACCTAGTAACTCCATGCCTGAGCTCTGAGACCAACTCTTCAAAGCCCTGAATTTTGGTCCTGATGTGCCCCAGGTCCAGGGCTGCCACCAGCTGGGAGCTCCCCGTTGCACACCAGGTGGCATGGGGCCTGCTGCCATGAGCATGATCCTGGTGCTGCTTCTCAACTAGGCTTTGCATTTCCCTTCTCCTTTCAGCTGATATTGCCCACCTCCCAGGGACGGGGAGAGGCTGTTTATCCAGCATCTCTGCAGATGAGCTTCTGATCCAGCCCCCATCAGCTTTATCTTGGGGCAAGGTCAATGAATTGCAAGTTGGGTCTCCCCTTAACTGGTCTCCAGCATCACTTTCTGGGGGCAAAATGGGGTTTGTTTGGGCTGCAGCAGCTGTTTGCTGTCCCTCTGCTGCAGTTCCGACCCACTCCACTTTCTGCTCTTGCATTTCAGCAGTGTTTCCTGCATGACTTGTCCCCAGGAGGAGCTCTGCTGTCTTGGACAGATTCTCCAGAGCGTTGGGCTCCTCTTGACACCCTTTAACTTCTTCTCCCACCTCCGCCTGAGCTGGTGTCACTTGGAGGGCATCCAGCACCATCCACCCTGGCCCACTCAGGAGTTGCTCAGGGGGCTGCTCCCCGCTCAGCTCCCCTCTGTCCGCCCCACGCTGCTCACTGGCAACTTCACGGGACTTGAACCCTCCAAAAAATGAGCGGCGCCTCATCAGCTTCAGGAATTCAGATGGTCTTTTTGGAGGGAGCCTCAGGGAGCTCGCCAGGATGGGCGTAGATTTCCTTCTCGCTTGCTTCAGCAAGTCGGATGCTTTCTTGGGCCGCATGTGGAGGGCGCTCTTTCCTGGCTCCCCCTGGACGCCAGGGTGGGCATCCTGCCCCTCACTGAGCTTCCCAGCCTGCTCCATCAAGTCTTGTGTGTCCTCGTGTGGGGCAATGGGAGCCGCGACCAGCCTTTGCCCCTGTCCCACAGCTAGGCATGGCAGCACTGCTCCATCGCTGGTGGTGCTCAGAGATCTCTCCAGCTCACTGGTGGATAGGAGGCAGAAAGAGCCTCTGTGCTCTTGCCCAGGCTGTGCGGTGGAGAGCAGACCTGAGGTTAGTCTCCACATGCCAGCACCTCTCCCAGCCGAACAGCCCTTCTCCCATCCTTAAAAGCTTCTCATTTTCTTGGATCTTGCACCCACGCAAGACGCTAGCTGCTACTCACCGGCAGGGCCCGTTCTTCCTCCTCCTCTTCAAACTCCTCCAGCACATCAGCCCGGGCCTCAGCCACCAGCTCTCTGAGTGGCCGCTTGTCGCAGACGTCTGCCACAAAGGGATGCTGCGCACAAGTGAAGGAGGTGGGCAGAGCCACTGCCAGAGGACAGGTAGCACCTGGTGCCGAAGCACCAGAGGTGCCCTTGTCCCAGGGATGGTGACTGTGGGCCAAGACCCATGGCATTACCCACCTGCAGGAGCTGGCTGGCCGACCACCGTGCCTCAGGGCTCTTCTCCAAGGATTTCCTCAAGAAGTCCTTGAAGTCTTCAGACCTGTGGGACAGCCCCCTGTGAACACGCACCAACTGGTTGCGCCCCATGGGCTCTGAGCTCTCCTGGGATGAAATCCCACAGCCCAGAGTGATATCATCTGCCTAGACCTTGGCAGGAGCCCATTTCTTTACCACGATGCTACCTGCTGTTGAGGTTACCTTCTGCAGGAAGGTGGTATGATAGAAAACCCAAGGTGCTAACTGGAAACACCTCTGCAACCAGACTTGGAGGAATGAGACCATAATTTATGGTCCAAAAACCCATCTCAGTCCTGCCGTGACTTTGAGCGGGAGCTGCCCTGAGGTCTCCACATGGGGACTCACCACCTCTTGGGGTGACGCAGGGTAGGTGGTTGGGACTTGGTGATCTTCAGCAGCACCCTCAGAGGGTTGAGGTCATGGTGAGGGGGCTCCATCTCCGCCATCTCGATCAGCGTGATGCCCAGGGACCAGATGTCAGCCTTGTAGCCATAGGGGTTCTCCTTGGACGTCTCACACTGCACCACCTCAGGGGCCATCCTGTGTGCAGGATAGAGGGGAAAGTGTGTCCCAGACTGGAGGCTCACCCCCAGCTTTCTGCTGGAGACAAGCACTTATCTCCTTCTGAAACCAAACCCCCATACAGTCCGGGGACAGTCCACCCTAAAGACAGTCCTATAGGCATGAGAGGTAAGATTTCACCGCTAAATCCTCCAACCCTTCCCTAAAAGCACTTGCACCAGCAGGTGCTCATCCCAGCGCATGCCATGGACAGTCTCGCAGTATAAGGAGGCTCATCCTAGAGAAGGTGTTGTCTGGAGAAGGGGAAGAAGGAAAGAGCTGGTTCCTCAAGAAGATGCTCCTGCTATTACAGCAGGAGCAAAGCTGGTTTGATCATCCACAAGATGAGCAGCAATCAGGGCTGTAGGGCGGAAAACCCACCTCGAGCAGGAGGATACCTCCACTTTCCCAGCCCACATGGCTGTGCTCCCACATCCCGCCATTCCCCAGAATTTCCATCCTGTACCTACCAGTACGGGGTGCCGATGAAGGATGTCCGGCGCTGGAAAGTGCTGGAGTTTTTGGCAGAGACACCAAAATCAGCTGTTTCATAGAAAGCAGCGTTTAGAGAGCATCCTCAGAGTACTGCTTCACGCAGGCACTAGCCCCCAGGGAAGGGGGGACAGACCAGTTTCAATCCAAGAGAATTCCCAGCCTCGCTCAGCACCTCATGTCCCTCGGGAGAGCACAAACCCACACCGAGACTGGAGGATGGTCAGCCCGAGCATCAGCTGGCTCCTGCACCAGCCACCCCGGTGCCGCTGGTGCCCCTCACCCGCAGGCTCACCTAGCTTGACGTCCCCATCCAGGGTGAGCAGGACGTTCCCAGCCTTCACATCCCGGTGGATGATCTTGCAGCCGTGCAAGTACTGCAGCGCCAGCAGCAGCTGCTTGCAGGCTGCTCGGATCTGCTCCTCGGTGAGGCCTTTCTCCAGCTCTGCGACGAGACGCAAAGCAACACCCGGGGCTGAAGCCTCCCTATGCCCTGGCAGCCAGCCCCATGGAGGGGCGACCCCGGAGGCAAAGGGAGTCTCGGGTGGCGTGGAGAGATGGGGCTGGGTTGCAACCATCAACCACAAACCCCGCAATGGCCATCCAACTAAAAGCACAGGAGAGCATTTTTTTTACCCAAGATTGCAGCATCCACAGCGCCTCCTGCACAAAACTCCACCAGGATCTGCGGAGAGAGCAGGGCTCAGGGAAGGCCCACACCAGTTGGCGCGGAGCAGCATTGACAGCCACATCAACGGATCAAGGAGAAACCATCTCCTGCCATGTCCCGACCAGCGGGACACGGGGTCGGGCATGCACCAGGCGCAAAGGGTAGCCCAGGAGATCGGGGCAGCAAAACATCCCCGGCTCTCGCTGCAATTGTGGCTTTGTTTTTTGGGGGGAAAACAGGGATGAACACATCGCAGCAGCTACAGGAGAGCTAATTTGGTGTCAGACTGCTGGGTCATCCCGGCTTGTTTTGCAAGGGAGAGCTTTTTTTTTTTTCCTCTCTGTCCTTATTCCTGCAGGTGGTTCTTGGTGGGACAGCACCCAAGAAAGAGCTGTTGTCCACAGACGTCCCCCCTTCAGGTGAAGGAGGACAGGGAGCTTATCCTTTGAGCCCTCAAGCATGTTGCTTCCCAAATTCATCCCCCCCAGCCCCGAGCTGGGCTGCCGAGACCCTGCTCACCCAGAGCCGCCCGTCCCAGTAGAGCGCGTCCAGCAGCTTGATGATGTTGGGGTGGTCGCAGCACGCCAGGATGTCGATCTCCACCACGTAGTCCTCCAGCTCATCCTCGCTCGGCGTGGTGATCACCTTCGCCGCGGCCAGGGCCCCCGTCACCTTGTTCTGGGCCTGGAGAAAAGACGTTTAAGGCAGTTGGGAAAAAAGGTTTTGCAAGCATGCGCTACGTCGTGTGCTGCGGTGCGTTGTGACGTGATACGTGGCGTCGCAAGATGATCTAGCCGGCCACATTTCAATGAAACGTCCTATCGCGATAGGGTGCTCCATATTATGATATTATATCATGCCATGACCCTGGCTTGTATCGTGAGCCTGGAATAGCCCCTCTCCTCTAGCAGACCAGGCCAGGAGCCAGGATTTTGGGTCCCTGCCCCAGCCCAGAGCATGGCTGGCGGGGACCAGGCGCATCTCCCCAACCTAGAGGAAGTCCTTGCGGTTTTCAAGCGTGACGTGTTCACAGATGATGGCTGCCACCACAAAGTCGGTGCCAAGAGGGAAATTTTCCCAAACAAGAGGCTGGTTTTGGCCAGGTCCAGCCTGGGGAGGGTTCCCGGTGCCACAAGTGCACCGACCACGCCAGGGCTCTGCACGATGGGCCCCAGAGCCGGAAGGCGGCTGCTGCTGGGGCGCCGCGGGCCCCGGGGAGCAGCACGGCGGGTTTCCTGTTGAGCTCAGCCTCTGCATCGCGGTTGTGGTGACAACAAGAGATTAAAAAACAGCCCTGTCTCAAACTCACGGCAAAACGAAGGATGTAAACGTTCCTGCTGTGCCCGGCTCTGGGATCTCCTGCTGAAACAAGAGGGGCGGCGACAA